CCTCCAAACAAAACACTTTTCTCCTCAGTACAGTTGCTTTGTAAAACCATGTTGTAATTAGTTTACATTGTGAATGTACTATCATATTAATATTGCTATACTGAGCTTACTTCCATGGTGTTAATTTTATATGATTTGAGTACATGGAAGGAGACACTTTGTTCCCTTTGCAGAATTCAGTTTCTGACACTCTCTACTATCAGCAAGAAAGAAGTACTACTTGTACTAAAATTAAACCTATGACTTTAAGTAAAATGTGCTGAAATACTAAAGCAAAATATAATTTTATCATTAATAATGGTATAATGCTAAGATCACCCATAAGATATAGGCATTTTTATACATAATATTTATTCTTAATCACTTTCATAAAATGCAATCTGAGTTTTATTTTTTAACAAAACCTTTTGAGTCATTTGGATAAGGTCAACAGAAAGCACAATCTTTTAACATTAGGTGATCAACTTTTTGACAATAGCAGGGCCAGCATAGCTAATGGAATAATAGCCTGCAGGGTCCAGCTAAATATGATATACGAACGTAATCAACCTCTGTGATGACTATTCAGAAGTAATCCCTTTAGCTTTGAACTGCAACATATATTTCAACCAGGCAAAAACCATATGAAGAAATTCTCTGCAGACCACACTGATACAATACAGCCTTCATATGCTGCTCTATGTGCTTGCTGCTTATAGTGAGTTTTAAATTTAAGGTAATGACCACTGTATATTCATGTGAGCATACAATACTTTTGATTTGTTGTAGAAAGGTTGAATCCATTACCAGGGGTCTAGTCTATAAACCCTGACACAACCTTTATGTACGAGTTATTATTTACCCTTTTCTAGACTAAGGCCAGTAAAAATGTTAGTCATGTCAAAATTATAAAAACTCATTTACCTTCTCATTCACAAAACTACCAGTCAGTGTCTCCTCCATTTTATTTTGCACTGCTCTACTGGTAACATTTTTTGAAATCTCATTTACATACCGTACTCTATTATATGAAAATTATAGGCCATTGTTTTCAAGTAAAGGGATGGGATGGTAGGTTGATTGCAATTCAGCATTTGCTGACTTACTCTATTGCTCTTTGGTATAGTATAGGCTAAGTGGAGGTATAAATAAGACTGTTTTGTTGCCCACCTGAGGGAATCTACCATTTGAGAGCCTACTATTAACAGAAAAGTGTCTGTTTCTACTGAAATGGTAGACAGTATAAGCAAATATCATGCTCTCAACTTTGTATTGGTTCTGATCTCCTTGTGGGAGTGATATTGGTCCTACTTTTCCAGCTTCCTTGTAAGTCTTACAGATCAAACACCACAAATCACATTCGAAGTCAAGCCCACAGCACAAAACCTAGGTTAGGAATCAAAATGAGTGCTTTTGCAACAGTGTAACCAAGAACAAACAATCCCATGGTGTTCGCCTTATTGCAAATGAATAGAAATATCGGAACACCTGATGAGTTCAGGTGTTCCCCTATATAAATTAATCATTGCTAAGGTTTCCTAGCACAGAGAGAGTGTGGATGTCTTTTATTTAAACTGGCAACTGTGGCCTAAGTTGAGTAAAAGAACAGCTACAGATATAGCTATTCTTCTCAGAGAATCTACTTGGGAAATATTCCCACTAAAAATCATCTTTCTTCAACATCTGGGGAGTGAATGCTAGAGAATTATTTGAGACAAACCGGGCATAATTTTAAACTCAGAAAATCCAGGAAAGATTTCCCCAGTTTAAGAGATGTTACATCCTGCCAAACCAAAGGGAAGGCTGAGTTTAAGACATTAGATAGTACAAAATAGGTATTAGGAGGTTAGGATGTTCTATATATTGTGATGCAATGGAAAATATTAAACTGAGAAGCCCAAGGTAAAGAATGATAAAAACATATTACTTAAGGTAAAAGCTCAGCTCCTATTACAGAAAGTCCCCAAAGTACAGTAGGTTAAGAATACACAAATTTGTTTCTTCCTTAATCCTGAAGTGAGCAGTCTAGATTCACAAGGTAGCTCCACAGGCAATTAGGGGACCATGATCTTCCATTTTATTGCTCCGCTATCCCCTAAGGCAGGGTTTCTCAATCTTGCACTATTGAAATTTTGAGCTAGATGATTTTTTTCTTGCTGAGGGGGCTGGAATATGGCTATCATGGCCATTGTAGGATATTTAGAAGCATCCCTGGCCTCTATCCACTGGATGCCTGTAGCACTTCCACCTATGAGTTGTGATGACCAAAAATGTCCCCAGACATTTTCAAAAGCCACCTGTGGGGAAATCACTGCCAGCTGAGATCCACTGGCTTAGAGTATTGTCAATGTCTGCATGTTAGAAACTGAATCATGGGGTAATGGTGCTATGTCTAAGATTAAAGAAAAGGAAAAATTTAATGGGGAATAAATCCTCACTGTCTAACACTCAGACCCAGGAGCAGTATGTATCATTTGTTTACTTTCACTGGTAAGAATTCAGTCATTTGGCTTCAACTAAGTATTTATTTGCTGATGTGGAAGATCTAATAGCAAAAAACAAACTAACAAAAAACCCCAACCAACCAAACAAACAAACAAACAAACACAAAACCCTGATACGTGGGAGACAGAAGGAATTACTGGAGCCATGTCTTATGTGGGCAAGAACTGATGAAGTCTAGTGAAGATGGAGTTAACCTTAGATGGGAGCATAGTAGGTAAGATAGAGCATATAGAACAAAAACGAGTAGGTAAGTGACTGTTAACACAGAGCTTGTGGAAGTTTCTTCCTATTGGTTTTTACTTCCTCCATGAAACCAGAAAATAAATCATCAGCTGAAAACAATGATCCAGTTGCAGGATTAGAGGTTTGAGAAAATAGAAGAAAGAGCTAAATAGTCATCTAGGAGAGTAGAAGAATGAATGGACCGAGAATGCTTAAAAGGATAACCTGAAAGCATTAAAAGTCCACCTAATTTAAAGTGAGGCCTGGTTGTACATAGTACAGGAGAGGAATAGGGAGACAGTTGGATGTATCTAGGGTTATGGTTTTGTCAAGTGAGTATGACAAAGTGGGAAAAGGGTAATGAAGTCAGGCTATATGCAAGGGGGAGAATGATCATGGAACTCAAGTTAAATAAAGAAGGGAAAGAAGACATCAAAATGAAGAGGAACAATGAAAATGTGGCAGCATTGGAGGTCCCAGGGAAGTAGAAAAATTGCTGGTGTTGGGGTACTAGAGGGAGTGATCTAAAAGGATAAAGCTGGAAGTCAAGTAGTTGAATGCTGGCAACTGAATTTGAGGGGGGCTCTAAGTTACTGCTACTGGCAAAGTCTAAAAATGTCCATGGGAATCAATGGCTGCAGTAGGCTGTGGGACCAGCTCAAAAAGAACCGAGCTCAAGGAATTGGGACCCAAGGTGAAGAATCTTCTGCATGTACATTTAAATTGCTAAGTTAAGAAAGTAGTAGCAAGGTAACAATAAGCCAATGATAAAATCAACTGAGAATGATCCCAGTTGTGGGTAGATCACAACAATAGTTGGTTGTGTAAACTGATGACTGAGTTTTAGGAAGGGAAGGAAGGAAGGAAGGTGAGTGTCCTGAAAGAGAACAATAAAGTGTAAGGAGGACATCTGTCCATTTCCAGGTCCAATGGTAGCCAGACTGACAAAAAGAAAAACAAAAAAGGCTGCTGGGCTGGCAGCGTCCTTTGAGGGCAGCCATGTTTCTGTTAGAGCAAGAAAGTAAAGAGAATTTCAGAAAATGGAATGAGGATACAGTGGAAATGTTTCAGGAGTTGTGGTAGGATATGGGGGCAAAATAGGAAATGTATAGAGCCTTATTGAAAATAGAATACAGGGGTAGAGCCTGGATGGCTCAGTCGGTTGAGCGTCTGACTTTGGCTCAGGTCATGATCTCGCAGTCCATGAGTTTGAGCTCCACGTTGGGCTCTGTGCGGACAGCTCAGAGCCTGGAGCCTGCTTCAAATTCTGTGTCTCCCTCTCTTTCTCTACCCCTCCCCTGCTCACTCTCTCTCTCTCTCTCTGTCTCTCAAAAATAAATCAACATTTTCTTTAATGAAAAAAAAAAGAAAAGAAAATAGAATAGAATAGAATACAGGAAATGAAAGGGCTCCTGGAGTCGGAGGCCTATGATAAGCAAGAATGTAGAGCATATTATTGGATTAGTCCCAATGGATTCAACTCAAAAGTTGAAGGGCAGATATGAAAGTTCAATAAAAAATTAACACGCCTATTAATATGTATACATTTCCTGTATCTGATTTAATTATTTGGATACTTTATATTGCTATCTAAATTAATTTTCCTTTTGAGTATTGTTCTAACAAGTCATTTTGTCCCCCAAAAGGTGGCTATTCCAGTTGCCATTTTATGTATCACAAGAATTCTGTGGATTAGGAATTCAACCATGGTTTGGCTAGACATGAGTTGAGGTCACCCGATGGTGGTGCTCAGCTGACAGGCTAGTTTGAAGGATCCAAGACAGCTTTCCTCACAGACTGGAGCCTTGGAGGGATGGCTGGAAGTTTGGACTCAGCTGGAAAGGTCAACTGGAGCATCTTCTATGTGGTCTCTCCAGGATGGCAGGATGGTAGGGTTTTTTATATGGTGACTGGCTTCCTCCAAAGCAAGCACCCTGAGCAAACCAGGAGGAAGCTGCACAGCCTCTTCTGACCTCACCTCAGAAATCATGAAGCCACTCTCTCCACATTCTAATGATTACAAAAGGGTCCAGAGCCTAGCCCAATTTCAAGAGAAGGTGAATTAGATTCCACCACTTGAAGATCATATTGTTGAGAAACATGTAAAGTGGGAGATATTGTGGCTATCTTTGACTAATATAATCTGCCCTGGTGACACAAGTAATACATTCACTTTGATCATTCAAGTGACCAGGATAGGTATCTCTGAAAAGAGACTCCCAGGTTCAAGCTCAATATAACTGTAAATTATATTTGTGATAAACCATTAAATTTACACATCTTTTTTCCTGTAGGAGGATCTAGAAAACCCACAATGGAAAGTTTGTATCAAATCCCAGAGAATTCAGAAGAACTCAATGGGTAAGATAAACCAAGTTAAAAGTTTCTATTGCATATACATTAGGCAAAATATTAAGCATAAACTGATTCTCCAAACACAAGAAGAATAATTTCATCTAGTACTTGATAATACTGAAACACTGTCTAAAAAAAAATCACAGATTTACTTTTAAATGTTACATAAGGTTAAGTGTTTTTCATCTTTTAAGCCATTTTGGAAAATTAAAGAAAACAAAATATCTTTCAAGCAAATGTCTTTTACTTTCTGCCCCAATATAAGATTAAATTTTGTAATTTATGTATTTCAGATTTCCAGATAATCGAAAAAATGAGACTTAAACCAGCTTTTGACTCAGCAACAAAGCAAGAAGAAATTTATCATGTCACCTTTGTCTTTGATAACTGTCATAGGAGTATGTTACAAATAATACAGATAAAGTTATAATAAAACTATGACTATGTTTAGATTGGATTTTGTATTGCAATGTACTACTACAAATTTAATCTAAAATTGATGAGAATAAAAAATGTATCTCAAATGCTTAGAACTATCAACAATTATTCATAAAACAAACTATAAATTTTCCTCTTATCCACTATTCCACAAGAAAAGTGTAATTATAGAATCAAATTTGGTTGTGTCTAATGAGAAAATAATTTTATTTTTTCTTTAAAAAAATTTTTTTAGAGAGAGTGTGCGAGTGGGGGAGAGGGGCACAGAGAGAGAGAGAATCTCAAGCAGGCCTCCACACTCAGTGCAGACCCCAACAAAGGGCTCGATCTCATGACCCTGGGATCATGACCTGAGCCGCAATCAAGAGTCAGACTTTCAACAGACTGAGCCACCCAGGTACCCAGAGAAAATCATTTTAAACTTAAGGAAATCTATACTGAATAAACATGGGGAAATATTTATTAAATTTTCAGGAAGAAATTTCAACATAATTGAAAGATTATAAGCAATAAAGACTATTATATTGATAAGCACTGTTTGAAACAGTGCTTTACTTGTAAAAGAAACATCTGTTTCCTCTACTCACACCACTTGTGACACCAAATGCATGAAGTTTTACACACTAACCAATTTTCTAATTCTCAGCAGATACTGACTGGGTGCCTTACACTTTAACTCAATTCTGACACTAACTGCCAGAAGTTAGCACAGATCCTAGATTAAGGGATCAGTTCTACAAGGATGTTTCCCACCTCAAATGCCAATCACAAGTCCCAAAGTGCCACTTATACTTCTGACTGGCTTGGCTACATCCTGGGAATTCCCACAACCCCCTCCTTGACTTCAATAATTTGCTATATCAGCTCACAGAATTCAGAGAAACAGATACTTACATTGCCAGTTTATTATGAAGAATATAATAAAAGATACAGATAAGGAGCCAAATAGAAGAGATACATTGGCAAGGTATGGGGGAGGGGGTGGAGCTTCCAGCCCTTCCTGGGTACATCAACCCTCCTAGCACCTCTATACATTCACCAACCCAGAAGCTCCCCCAAATCCTTTCAGTTGGGGTTTTTATGGGGTCTTCATAACATAGGTATGATTAAGTCAGCCTCCAGCCCCTCTCCCTCCCCAAAGGTCAGATGATAGGGCTGAAAGTTTCTAAACTCTAATCACATGGTTGGCTTCCCTGGCAACAAGACCCCATCCTTAAGGGCTTTGCAAAAGTCACCTCATTAAACTCTGGTGTAGATGAAAGGGGCTTGTTATGAATAGCAAAAGATGATCCTTTCACCTTTATCATTCCAGAGCTATTTCAGGACCTGGGGACAAAAACCAAATATTATAACAAAAGATATTCCTTTCACCTTTAACCAAATTATAATTTATTGTATTACATAAGGAGCTCTGTGCCAGGAATCAGGGACAAAAACCAAATATATGTTTCTTAACACTATTATAACATTACATTGTGTAGAACTATATTTTATGATACTTTTGGCTGATAGGATATAGTTGGCCCTTGAACAACACAGGTTTGAACTGTGTAGGTCCACTTATACATGTATGTATTTTTTATATAAATATAGTACAGTACTATGTTTTGTCTTCCTTGTGGTTTTCTTAACACTTTGTTTACTCTGTCATTGTAAGAATACAGTATATAATACATATACAAAATATGTATTAATCAACTGTTTTATGTTATCAGTAAGGCTTCCGGTCAACATTAGGCTATTAGTAGTTAAGTTTTGGGGGAGTCAAAATTATATGTGGATTTTAACTGTGCAGGGAATTGATGCTCCTAACCCCTACCTTGTTCAAAGATGAACTGCATAATAAAATGTATCCATGTCTATTATAAAAGATTAGGAAAATCCTTCAGTCTTAGGCCTCTCCCCTAATGTGTCTTTACCATAATAAATGTACTGAAACCCCTGGTTTTGTAAAAAAAAAAAAAAAAAAATTAATGTTTTTGAGACAGAGACAGAGTGTGAGCAGGTGACAGAGAGAGAGGGAGACACAGAGTCCAAAGCAGGCTCCAGGCTCTGAGCTGTCAGCACAGAGCCTGATGTGGGCCTCGAACTCATGAACTGAGATCATGACCTGAGCTGAAGTCGGACGCTTTATCGACTGAGCCACCCAGGCACCCCAAAAACTCTGGTTTTCTATATAGGAACAAAATCTATAATGTGTTTCCCATCTTACATTATCTGATTATAAATATATGGAATCATACAGAATATATGATATATATAATATGATATATATGATATAATATATAATAAATATGTATATTTATCATATACAACATGATTGTGTTTCTAATTTTGGGTTGCGGAATGCCTTCCTAATTAAGAAATCAAAGTCAGGTGCAGAATTAACAATGACTACAAAATATGTGATTACATTAAAATATTCATACAGTGAAAAGGTCACTAAACAAAATTAAAAGCCCAATGACAGAGCAGAAGAATTTGCAACAACAATCAAAAAAACTAATGCCCATAAAACACAAATAATTTATGAAAAAACATTAATGAAGGAGAAGATGAGGAGGAAGGGGGAAAAAAAAGAAAAAGATAATCTAGTAAGAAAAAGGACAGAGCATACCATTGGAATTTAAGTTCTTATCATATTAAAATAAATTGTTATAAATATATTTTATTTAAGCTTGATGGTAACCACAAAGCAAAAGCCTATAGTGTTACACAAAACATAAAGGAATATGAGCATAACACTACAGAAAATCATCAAATCACAAGGAAGAGAGCAAGAGAAGAGAGAAACAGGAATTACAAAGCAGCCAGAAAACAAGTTTAAAAGTGGCAAAAAGTCCAAGCCATCAATACTTATTTTAAATGTAAATGAACTAAATACTCAAATCAAACGACATCAAGTGGCTCAGTGGATTAAAAAAAGAAAAAAAGACCCAACTATTGTCATCTACAAGAGACTCTCTTCAGCTTGAAAGATACACGAGACTGCAAGTGAAGGGATGGGAAAGCATATTACATAAAAATGGAAACCAAAAGAAAGCTAAGATAGCTTTATTTATATGAGACAAAATAGGCTTTAAGTCAAAGACTGTAATAAGAGGTGAAAGACATTATATAGTAATAAAGGAGACAAGCCAACAAGATATAACATTTGTTAATGTTTATGCACCCAACATAGAACCCCTAAATATAGAAAGCAAATATTAACAGACCTAAAGGGAGAAATCGACAGCAATACAATAATAGTAGGGAACTTTAATACTACCACTGGCATCAATAGATAGATCATCAAGACAGAAAATCAATAAGGAAACATTGGCCTTAAATGACACATTAGACCAGATGGACTTAGACATATCCAGAACATTTCATCCAAAAGAAACAGTACACATGGAACGTTTTCCAGGATAGATCATATATTAGGCCACAAAACACATCTTTAAAAATTTAAGGTTGAGAATATATTGAGCATCCTTTCCACCCACAATGGTATAAAACTAGAAATCAACTACAAGAAGAAAACTGGAAAAATCATAAATATGGGGAGACTAAACAACCTGCTACTGAACCACTAATCGGTCAACAGGCTAATCAAAGAAATTTTAAAAATACCTTGAAACAAATGAAAATGGAAATACAACACACCAAAACTTAAGGGATGCAGTAAAAGCAGTTCTAGAAGGGAATCTCAAAGTGATAAATGCCTATATTAAGAGGGAAAAAAAGATCTCAAATAAAGAACCTAACTTTATACCTCAAGGAACTAGAAAAAGAAATTAAGTCCAAAGTTACTAGAAGGAATGAAGTAACAAAGATCAGAGTGGAAATAAATGAGATACAGACGAAAAAAAACAGTAGAAAAGATGAATGAAAATAAGAGCTGTTTTTTTTTAAAAAATAAAATAGACAAACCTTTAGGTAGACTCATCAAGAATAAAGGAAGAAGACTCAAACAAAACTAGAAATGACAGAGTAGATGTTACAACAGAAAACAGAAATACAAAGGATCATAAGAAACCACTGTAAACAATTATACACCAACAAATTGGACATGTCCTAGAAGACATGGAGAAATACCTAGAAACATACAACCTACCAATACTGAATCATGAAATACAAATTCTGAAAAGAGCAATAGTAGCTACTTAAATTACTAGTTACTAGTATTTATTACTAGTATTTTACTAGTAATTACTTGTAAGGAGATTGAATCAGTAGTCAAAAACCTCCCAACAAATAAAATCCCAGGACTGATGGCTTCACTGATGATTTCAACACAATAATTTTTTTGAGAGGCAGGGAAGGATAGAGGGAGAGGGAGAGAGAGAATCTCAAGCAGGTCTCATGCCCAGAATGAAGCTGGACGCAGGGCTCAGTCTCATGACCGTGAGATCATGACCTGAGCTGAATCGAGTTGGATTCTTAACTGAACCACCCAGGCAAACCTCTACCAAATATTTTTAAAGGAATTAAGATCAATACTTCTCAAACTCTTCCAAAAAATAGAATAGGAAGGAACAAATTCCTTGTACAAGACCAGCATTAATTACCCTGTTACCAAAACCAAAGACACTAGAAGAAAAGAAAATTATAGACCAATATCCCTTATAAATATAGATGCAAAAATCCTCAACATAGTGACTATAGTTACCAATGCTATATTGTATATTTGAAAGTTTCTAACAGAGATCTTAAAAGTTCTCATCACAAGGGGTAAAACAAATTTGTAAATTTATGAGGTGATGGATGGATGGTAAATAAACTTACTGTGGTAATCATTTTGCAATATATGTATATACATATATATGTATATATATACATATATATGTACATATATACATATATATGTATATACATATATATACATATACATATGTATACAT